AATTACTCTGAATTAATTGAACAGGATGGAATAATTTCAGATTTAAAGTTTGAATTCTGAGTAGAACTGCTGACTTTTCCTTTAATACAGCAGTTATAACAGATGTTGAGCTTCAAACTATTTATGACTTTGATAAATGGACACTTTGTCTGTTTAGATCTGAGCGGTTTTAATTGCTCTCACTGACTCCCAGCAGAGATGTAATCTGATCTGATCCTAGATGAAGATGAACATGAGATGGGTTGTGAGGAGCTGCCATGTCTGCAGCGGTCACTGGGGGCGGGGGGGTCAGCAGAGCCATGGTTAGGGTCATACTGTCAGGAGTATGGAGTGTAATGGGTTGGGGCTGCACTGTAGGTTTGCATGGAGCTGTTTCCTAAACACAGGAAACAGAGCTGTGCAATAAAGACAGCTCATGCTAACAAAGGTTTTCCATTCAGTTTATTTCTATAGCTTTAAGTCACAACACCTCGTCTTGGGTTACTTTACAGATCTAGTTCACTCAGATATTCCAGTCAGATTAGAGGCTGAAAGTTTTCTATATGAGGAAAACCAGCTGACTGCATCCAGTCATTGGCTCCTCCTGAATGAGCATTTTTACCTTGTATGCTTGCATCTTGCAGCTACAGCAATCCCTCCCACCAAGCATGCAGCAACAGTGGGGAGGAAAAACTCCCTTTTAGCAGGAAGAAACCCTCCAGCAGACAGAATCAGTGTGAGCCTCTATTTACTAAGGCTGACTGGGGTTCAAGGAGACAGAAGCAGACGTTCTGTCTTTTTCATTCTTAGCAATGATGAAGAGGGAGTTTTTAAATGTCATATGAAGTGAGTCTTCCTTTGGGTAATTTCAATACACTTTGACAGAAAAAGGCCAAATTGGTTTAAAGAATGCGTCAAACGCTCCAATAAAGAAGCTTAAACAACAGAATCAGATTCAACATAAACCCCATTAGCGACTTAATGTCTGTCGAAGTTTTTTTAAATGGCTTTTCGGTGTTTAAAAGTGATCAGTTCGTTCAATTAAAGCACAGTTTCACACTAAAGATGTGACCCCAGCAGACCTTAAAATGTATTTCTGCATAAAATGCTGCCTAAGCTGTGATTATATGAAAGCAGCGGACAAAGCTTCAGAAAGCCAGGAGAACTGGTGAAGAACTGAACCAGTAAATGAGTCATTTCTCCCGGAGCAGAAAGCCACAGCGCCTCCTGCTGCTCTGACAGAGTGCTGCAGCGTAGACCCCATTCTGCATCATCCATCTTTTAACTGAATCCGGCCAGAACCGGATCATCTCAGAACCGTGCTCCAGCCAGCTTCTGGCCTCCTGCTGGGTCGCTCTTCTCAGAATCATTCCTGAACTGGTTGATGGAGAAGGATGGAGACGACGCCAGCAGGAGGTCTCATCACGTCTCTGTGAATCAAACCGCCTGCTCCTCTGGAAAGGTCTGGTTCTCACCGGCGGCGCCCTGAGCTGCCAAAGGAAAGGTCTGAGAAAGGGGCGGGGGGGGGGGGGTGAAAAGGTCCAGTTCTCACATTACTGTCAGACTTCCTGTAAAGGTCACCCTTCTCTTGACTGATTGGTTAAACCTGAAGAAACTTTCTGGTGTCTTTTTGCCGCATTGTCCCGCTCCCGTCTCTGGTCCAAACCTCTGAACCTTTGCTTTCCTCCTCCTTTATCCCTGCAGCGCTTCTCTTTGCTTAGTTCTGTCCCAGCCTCATTCATTTGTTTTGTCCTTTTTTCTCCGTGTCCTCTAATAAATCGGAGCGACTTTGATTTATTATCCTGCAGAGTGTGTCAGCGCTGCAGTAAGTCTGTGAAGGACACCGGCGTCTGTGTGAGGCAGGGAGCTGGTATCTTTGTGAGGACCGGCACCGGTGATTTTCCTGCATCATCTGCATGATGATCTGAGACGTTCACCTCTCAGGAGAACCCCTCATTGATTGGAGCTTAGATTCAGTTATTTTAATGATAAATAGATGCTTATGGCAGAGGTGGGTGGGAACCAGTTACACCTGCTAGAGAAACTTTGAAAGAAAACAAACTAGAGTACTCTTTCATTACTTTAGTCACAGATCTTCAATGTTTTCCAGGCCAAGGACCCCAAACTGATGGCCAGATGGAGCGGGGACCCTCTAATTATATATATTGGGTGAAATAGTGTTCTATCAAACTGTTCCTATAGTCACTCTATTACAGATGGAGTAATGTAACTAAAGTAATCCCTCCCTGGGATTATTAAAGTATTTCTGATTCCTGGTTGATGGGACAGGTGTTGTGAATGAAACGGTGCCCAGCTTGAAAGAGCTCCTGTGTGTCGCTGAATGTGAGCATTGAATAAACCATGGGTGGTTCTACACAGGGGCCAAAGGGGGCC